AGGGAATATTCCACAAGGGAATATTCACACCACAAGGTGATATTCACACCATTAGGGAATATTCATACAAGGGAAAATTCACACCACAAGGATATTCACACCACAAGGGATATTCACACCAAAAGGAAAAATCCACACCACAAGGGATATTCACACCACAGAGGGAATATTCACACCACAAGGAATATTCACAAGTTAATATTCACACCACAAGGGATATCACTTCACAAGGATATTCACACCACAAAGGAATATTCACACCACAAGGGGATATTCACACCACATGATATTCACACCACAAAGGGAATATTCACACAAGGAATATTCACACAAGGGAATATTCATAAGGAATATTCACACCACAAGGGAATATTCACATATAGGAATATTCATACAAGGAATATTCACACCACAAGGGAATATTCACACCACAAGGGGATATTCACACCACAAGGGAATATTCACACAAGGAATATCTATAAGGAATATTCACACCAAAAGGATATTCACACCACAAGGATATCTACAAGGGAATATCACAAGGAATATTCACACCACAAGGGAATATTCACACCACAAGGGGATATTCACACCACAAGGGAATATTCACACAAGGGAAGATTCACACCAAGAGTAGACCTTCGCATCACAAGCTATACACTACTCACATTCCTAGTATGAGAATATCACTGAAGAATAAATATTACAAAAAATATTAATGTGTACTGGTATTTAGTAAGAAACTAAGATAATATATGAGACTGTAATTTTGGCGACTTGATTCCTGTAACTCCACTGTGCAGTATGTCCGTTATTATAATTATTATTATTTGGGGTGGGGGAGGGGGAATTATTGTAAAACTGTACTAGAAGAGCCATACTGTTACTGAGGAATCCCACGGTACAGCAGATCACAGGGATTTTTTGAGGCGTAAACATACTGTGACGTCACGCGTTGAGCCTCCTCGCTGATGAAGGACACGAAATAAAAACTAACGGAGATTGAGCGATAATTATAAGACTAGTTGATATTTAGGCAATAATTTTTATGACCAAGGATAGCCGACAAAGCTTATTTCCAGTAAGGCTGTGAATGATGGCGACTGAATATATGTTGTAACACGAGTGTTTTACGGCAGGAACAGTCATTATTAATGGAACTCTTGAAATATGATTAATTGATAACTTGCTTCACAGTTAGTACTGTTTGATCATCCAACTTGACAACACTGCTACAACATATCTCAACAACAACAACAATAACATTCACAATAAAAACAACACCAATCCCTACAACACAACAACACTAGCAACGTTACCTGTATAATAGTGTTGACCTACTGCACACAGGTAGGACTGACTGAAGGTGGTTGGTTGTCGTAACGTCAACTAAGTGAGCTGTGACCAAAACACACATGAGCTTGGATCTTATATTTGCGCATCCCTGACCCACATTGTTTTTTTTATAGGTCTTGACAAACCAGTTTTCTCGGTACAGGTCAGATGGGTGTGTGGGAGGCGTGATGTCAGCGAGCACGGAAGTCATGACTGTTTTCCTAAAGTGTTTGGAAACCCCTGATAACTGATTCATTATTGTTTCTGGTGTCGGTGTAGTGCAGTGGTGGAATGTAGTGGAGGGGTGGTGGAGTATTGTGGAGGGGTGGTGGAGTGTAGTGGAGGGGTGGTGGAATGTGGTGGAGGGGTGGTGGAGTGTGTGGAGGGTGGTGGTGTGTGGTGGAGGGGTGGTGGAATGTGTGGTGGAGGGGTGGTGGGTGTGTTGTAAAGAGGTGGTGGAAGTATATTGTTGCGGTGGCGGAGTGTGTGTGTGTGTGTGTGTGTTCGTGTGAGTGAGTGTGTGTTAGTGTGTGTGTGTGTGTGTGTGTTCGTGTTCGTGTTCGTGTGTGTGTGTCGTGTGAGTGTGTGTGTGTGTGAGTGTGTGTGTGTGTGTGTGTGTGTGTGTTTCATACGAAGGAGTCTTCTTGCTTGGAACAGACGATAAACAAACTTTCAAATCACATCAGAATATCTTGTAGTGTGATGTGCCTTTAGCGTGTGCATTCAGCGCCTCCCCCCAGCGCCCACTGCCCTACTGTCGTCAAACTTACCATGCAGGATGATACTTTATTTGGTACGGTTCGGAGGGAGTTGAGAATATAATTGAGGGGGAGGTTGTCAATAACTTCATATTAATGAGGGTATACTGAAGCGCGCGTGTGTGTGTATCGTGTGGTGTAGTGTGGTGTAGTGTTTCGTTTGTGTGTGTGTGTTGTGTGTGTGTGTGTGTGTGTGTGTGTGTGTGTGTGTGTAAGCACTGGAACACAGCAAGAAGGTGCAGAGGTGAGGGAGAACTGGTTTGTGTTAGTCTTGCATGTAATGGTCACCTTCATGTTCTGCTCTTGAAAAAAAAAGTTAACAGCAGTTGTTTTGTTTGTGTGTTGGGAGATCCCCGGTGTTGTCTACCATAGGATATTGATGGACAAGAAGCACCACTTAAGACTCTCTCTCTCTCTCACACATTACCCAAATAAAAAAATATTGCACGAGAGAAGTTAGAAGAAAAATCCAGCGAAGATAAAATAATGAAAGAGAAGAACAAGGAGGCAGAAGAGAGAAGAAACAAAGCAGACGAGAACAAGGGTCAGCATTAGTGGGTGTGTTGGAAGAATGAGGTCAGGGAAGAGGTAATAAGAAGAAAGAGGCAAGATAGAAGAGAGGAGGAATGAGAAGAAAGCAGAAGGAAAGTAGAAAATGAAGATTAGAAAAAAGAAGAGGAGCAGAGAAGAGAAGAAGGAAGATGAAGTAAACAAGAAGGCAGGTGAAGGAAGAGAGCAGAAGCAACAAGTCAAGAAGAAAAAAAGAAAAGAAAAGAAGAATGAACAGACGGAAGAGAAAAGAAAAAATGTAGAAGAATAGAAAGAATATGAAGGAATGGCAAGAGGAGGAAAACCCTAAAGGAAAAGAAGAGTTAAGAGAGATAAGAAAGCAATTGAAAAAAGAAAGAAAAAGGAAAATGAAGACAAATTCATCCATAGTATGTTTACCAATTGTAAGTTTCTTTCTGTCGAATGTAAACAAACACAGGGCTGCCCACACTGCACAAAACCTGACGAGCCCCTGTAAACGCACTAGTGAAGGGGGACTGTACATTGAGCCTGAGCACATGCATCCTTTTCTCCGCTTATGACCAAGATATTGGAGTGGATATGACAACACCTTTAGTGCTACTGAGATGTTCATTATCTTTCCTGTTACATAACGCATCGTTTTATGTGTGATAGGGGAAGTAGGTCGTGGTGATTTAG